TCGGGAAGCAGAAGCAGATCTCTGTGAGTTTGAGGCCAGCCTGGTCTATATAGTGAGTTCTAGGACAGCCAGGGCTATGTAGACAGACTGATTCTGTCTCAAAAAAAGAAAAGAAAAAAAGCCACATCAGCATACATAAGATGGGCTATGTGCCCAGGTATATCATCTGTTTTCATCCCCTAAAACATAAAGGGTGAGAAGACCAAGCCTCAGAGAGATTGAGTAATTTTCCTGAGGACAAACAGCTAGGCTGTGACAGGAAGCCTCTGTGCTCCACCGCTCAGGGCTCTGTGCGAGAAGTCACAGAAGCTAGACTCTGTCCACCTGCTGACCGCTATGTGCCCCTCTCCCGCACCTCAGCCTGCTGCAGCCTCTACCCGCTCCAGGCAAAGCTGGAAGGCTAAGGTCAAGCCAGAACACTGTGCATTAGAGCTGGCCACAGCAGCCAGGCCTGGGAGGAAGCTAGGCAGGCTCTGTGGAGGAGGCGGTCCAAGAGCGACTGACCGAGAAAGCCTTTTATCGCACACTACCACGCACCATGCAAGGCCTTTGTCTAGAGACTCGAAAGCCATATTTTCCCCCCAAGTCACCCCCAGCAGCCTTGTGAGGCAGGGGGGATGCTTTCCCTTGGGAACTCGGGGGTTGGGGAGGGTGGAGCCTGCTGGAGGCCAGCCAGCCGGATGACAGGGATGACAGATGCAGCTACCACGTCTCCTAGTGCCCTGGCCCTCCGCTACCTGCCTTGTCTGCCTACTCTGCTTCCTCCGTCAGATGAGATGCCCACTGAAGAACCGAGGAATCCCTGCAAACTCAAGGAGGACCGTCAGTACAGCAGCTTCGATTTGAACGACATCGCTACATGCTTCACCATGTGCAAGGGGTCGGCGGACAGCCCCTGTGATGTGGGGAACCTGCAGAGGTGAGGAGAGAGGAGTCTGGGCGGGATGGGAGGAGTGGTCTGCTGGGAAACCATAAGGCCGTAGGTCCCCGGGGCCCTAGAACATGCTGCGCCTTTCTTCGCCCCTTCATGTTCTCCCTGGCCTGGCCCCACCCTGGCAATCAGAGTCCCTACTGAGTACGGCAGTGGTTCTCAACCTGTGGGTCATGAACCCTTTGGGGGTTGAAGGACCCTTTCGTAAGAGTGGTCTAAGACCATCAGAAAACATTTACATTACAATTCACAACAGCATCAAAATTACAGTTATGAAGTAGCAACAAAAATAATGGTTTTGGGGGGTCATCATGGGTCACCACGCCATGAGGAACTGTATTAAAGGGTGGCAGCTTTGGGAAGGTTGAGAACCACTGGACTAGGAGCTGCAGAGACGAATCATCCCATCTCTGCCTTGGGAGCAGTGGAGGGACAAAGGGATGCACATAGTGATGACTCCGGTCGAGTGTGGACAAGGAGCCTGCTGCCTAGCACAGAAGAGGAAGTGCCAAGACCTTCTCCAGGAGGCAGCCTGGGAAAGGGCTTTGAGGAGCCCGGAAGAGCTTTCCAGTGGACCCATACGTAGGGTGTGTGATATGGCTGCTTAACTTCATGGTACAGGGGAGGCCTACAATGTTTGAATCGTGAGAGTGCAAAGAAGTTCAAGGGGACAGAGGGGACCGTGTCAAGACGGGACAGGCGGAGGATAGAACTGGAAACATGAGCGGCAAGTCAGGTGTGACGGACCGTGTTAACAAGACCGTTACGGAAACAGGGACGTGGCATATCTGAAGTTAAGAAGGGCTTGGTCCACTTTGCACTCTAGGCTGATTGCTTGGACTTCAGGGCAGGATCCAGGGGTGGAGGCGAGACGTGATAGGATGTGATTCTTCAGGCCCCAGGAGCTGCTCAGCGAAGATGGCCCAGGCAGGCCCGAGGTTGGCTTCATGAGCCAAAGAGGCTGGCTAGAGGGGGCAGGGCAGGGGGAGAGAAAGCCTTCAGGGGCTGTCTCTGCTGTCACCACTGCCATGGCAGCTGCCTCTCCACTCTGCTCTGGCCTCTAGGCAAAGGGACCCAAAACTCACCAGGATGCCACAAACGTGCCCAGCTTACAGCCAGGAAATGGTTGTTGAGGGGACGAATGAAAACCTTTGCCCAAGGCTGGCTATTAAGACCGTGTTCAGTTGACATTCCTTCTTTAGTGGCCTGAAAATGCTCCCAGACCTGCGGGCCATACTCTGGCAGGTTATTAGACACCGTGAAGCCCAGGGTTCCTCTGTTGCCACTCTGTGGCCGGATAAACACCTTAGAGAGAGCAAGTGCCTTGAGGACTGAGGTGTGGTCTGTTCCCACTCCATCCCTTGAGTGTACACTTTTATCTTCATCACACTGTCTTCGGTTACTTTTCTTATCTCTGTAACAAGGTCCCTAGCAGGAGCAACCTACAGGAGAAGGCTGGTTCACAGGAAAGGGTGCTGTCCATCCATGGTGGGAGGGCATGGTGGATGGAGAGGCTCCGTCCATGGCAGCGGCGGCTCACAGCATGACTTACTTACTCATTCACGCCTTGTCAGGGAGGGGCACAGGAAGCAGAGGCCAATAGGAAGCAGGCCTCGCTTGTGTTCTTCAAGGTCTGTCCCCTGTGTTCTCCACCTGACCAACCTCCCAAACGGCACCACCAGAGAGGGTCAAAGTGTTCAAACACAGGAGCCTGTGGGGACATTTGACATCCAGACCCTAAAAAAATGCTCTGAAGTAGGTCCTGTTATCAACCCATTACTCAGAGGAGAGAACTGAGATTCCAGGCAGTCAAATGACTCACCTATGATTACACAGTAGGTCAGAGGCGGGAGCTGGATGTAGAAGGCTTAGAGGAGGCACTTGATATGATAGATCTGGTGAGGAGAGAGCAGACTGCCCTGCTCCTCAGCTTCCTGCTTGGCTGGTGGAGTCAGTGCCTTTTCAGCAGACAGTGTTGAGAGAGAGAGAGAGAGAGAGAGAGAGAGAGAGAGAGAGAGAGAGAGAGAGAGAGAGAGAATTGTGTTGCCCTGAATCGAATCTTGGGAGGAAAAGCTTGCTGTTTATTCAGGGCCATGGAGTCTCAGGTTTGTTTCTCTTTCCTCACACACCTCCCCTGAGATCCCCCGATGCCCTGCTGTGGCTGCAGAGCCCCTGTCCTGTCCGAGGCAGGGCCTCCTCTCATGCCTGCCAGTCAGCGCTGAGCGGCTTTCGCCCCCTGGATGTGTCCGTCCTGCTGATGGAGTGGCTTCCTTCCCTTAGTGTGCTCTTTCAGTTCATTCCTGCTGTGGCCAGTAAGGTGTGTTCTGTGACCCGCAGTGACCTCTATTCATCAGAAACTCAAACTCTCAGGAGAAAGATCTTAGGAAGAACAGATGTCCCAGGAGAAGAGAGGCCACAGGTGCTGAACCTCGTGTTCATGGTTTTCTACAGGATGTCACCTCGAGGTCGTCATTGTTGTAGCGGCTCTTGACAGGGTTCCACCACCATCTTTGCATGACTTGGCTTCTCCACGCATTCTTAGGAGAATAAACAACCCTTCCTGATTCAGAAACAGAAGTCCAAAGACATGCTTCTTAAAAAATAGATAGATATGTTGCTGGGCGGTGGCGGTGCATGCCTTTAATCCCAGTGCTCAGAAGGCAGAGACAGGCGGACCTCTGTGAGTTTGTCGAGGCATTATATAATAATAATAATAATAATAATAATAATAATAAAGCAGAAGTCCAAAGCCATGCTTCTTAAACATAGATACATCAAGACATTATATAATAATAATGTTGTTATGATTTTAATGCACAAATGTTGGAGCTGGAGAGGAAGGCTCAGCAGTTGAGAGCACTGGCTGCTCTTGTGGGTGACTCAGGTTCAATCCCCTGCACCAGGCGGCTCACAACCACCTGTAACTCCTGCCGTAGGGGATCCAACACCCTCTTTTGGCCTCTTCTGGCACCTGTCTCGAATGTGGTGCAGTTTACATATGACTGTATACATCCTTCAGCTCTCACCCTCAGAAAGCTGAAAAATATTTCTAGTCTCCCAGAAGGCCTCTCGTGCCCCTCCCCAGCAGCACAAAGGATGTTAGTAATGGTGGTGTGGTGGCTAATTTTTCTTATCATTTATTTTTTATGTATTTCTAGATTTATTTATTTTATTTCATGTGTGTGAGTGTTTTGCCTACACGTGTGTATGTGCACCATGGGCTTGCAGAGCCTGTGGCCGCCAGAAGAGGGCATCCGATCCCTTGGAACCGGAGTTATGAACGGTTGTGGATCACCATGTATGTGAGTCTTCTCTGAGAGGAATGGATGCTTTTAACCACTGGGCCATCTCTTCGGCCCTTGATGGCGACTCTTGATTTTCAACGTGTGTTGAGCCACCAGGAGATGACAGACCGTACCTCTGATTGTGTCTGAGTTCATTTTCAGAGATAATATTGTAAGGGCTCTGAGTCAGCCAATGGTTCAAAATATTCACAAATTCAAACTTGGAATGAACTGCTGGGGGCCGGAGAGTGGAGCTGGGACTGTGCGGCCGAGTTGGCCCTGTCTGTTTCCTGTTTTGCTCTGCTTCCCAGTTGCAATGAGGTGAGCAGCCCCTTCCATACATCACATGGCTTTCTGCCTCCCGCAACAGAGGAACCATAAAGACACTCACCCGGGGGCCGTGAGCCAAAATAAACATTTCCTCCCTTAAACGGTGTCTCTCTGGCAACACATTGGTAACAACAGTGCTGCTGTGGTCACTCTTCTATGGCCCAGGGCTTTTTAAACTTTATCTGTTCTCAAGTGACACATCATTTCCCGTTATCAGCATGCCTGTGCCATTGTGAGCTCCCTCCCTCCCTCCCTCCCTCCCTCCTTCCCTCCCTCCCTCTCTCTCTCTCTCCCCTTCCCTCCACCACACCTCCACACTTTCCTAATAGAGTCTCTAGCCCAGGTTGGCTGCACACTCACCGTGTAACTAAAGATAACCTCGCCCTTCTGAGAATCTTGCCTCTATCTCTAGAGTATTGGGATTACAGGCATGTGCCACCACACCTGGTTTATGCGGTGCTGGCTTCTGGCATGCTACATTTTATTTGTTTTTATATTCGGGTGTATTATTTTCTTTTTCAGAGGTGGGTTGGGGGAGAGTCAGGGCCTCATATAGCCCAGATTTCGAATTGGCTAAAGATGAACTAGAAGTCTGGATTCTGCTGACTCCACCTCCCAAGTGCTGGAGTCACAGGCGTGCACCACCTCAGTTTGGTACCCTGATGGGGATGCCACGGATACCACCACCCGCTCCGCTCAGCACTGGAGTTCAGTGTTAGAATATTTACAAGGTGTGTGAGGCCATCGCTGCAGTCACGCCCTTCCTCGGGTCTGCAACCTGCTGCTGCTCCTGCCCCACCATAGTCAGGTCTGCCAGCCTCCTCCTCCTCCTTAGGATTGCCTCTGGGCACCATGTATAAAGGGAGCTCTCCTGAGTGGACCTTCCTTCCTTTAGCATGGTGAGCCTCATCCATATTTTATGGTATTTATTTTAGTTTGATTACCCCATGCAAACATATCACATTATGTTGTCCATTTGCCAATTGATGGGCATTTTGAATTGGTGCCAGTTCTTGACTGATCTGAATATTGTTCCCATGAACATTTTATTTAATTCAAGTCCTGAGGCCATATGTTGCCATGTGGTGGGGGATCCATGCCTGGGGAACAGAATTGCTGGAATATACCCTGAATATATCCTGAGCTCCATAAAAGACTGCCAACCATTTCCCAAAGTGGCTGTGCCATTTGCTTCCTGTCAGCAGTGCAGAAGGCCCTCGTGTGGTTCTGGCCACTCTAGTGTAGAGGAGCATCTCCCGAGATGCCCACTGGCATTTCACCGTGAACAATGAACCCCAATATCTTTGCATGTGCTCGCTGGCCATTTAGAGATTTTCTTCGGTAAAATGGCTATTTAACCTCTCTCTCCTCCCT